CCCAGAATAGTTCAACCAGTCCATAACTCCACCAACAGTGCACTAGTGTACCTATTTTCCCACATATTCTCCAGCATTTGTCATTTTCATTTTCTGTGATATTAGCCAATCTGATAGATGTGGGGTGGTAATTCGGATTTGATTTAATTTGCATTTCTCTAATCAATAATGCTTTAGAACACTTTTAATGTGACTATTGATAATTTTTATTTTTTCTTCTTGAAGACTACTTGTTCCTTTGACCATTTATCAATCAGAGAATGGCTCTTATTTTCATAAATTTGACTCAGTTCTGTAAATGTTTGAAAATGAGGCCTTTATTAGAGAAACTCATTGTAAAAAAATGTCTCCCAGATTCCTCCTTTCCTTCCAATTTTAGCTGAATTACTTTTGTTTGTGCAAACACTTCTTAATTTTATAAAATCACTATTATCCCTTTTCCCCCACGATCATGTCTTCCCCTCTTGTTTGGTCATAAGCTGTTCCCTTATCCATAGATCCAACAAATCAAATTTCCAAGCTCCCCTAATTTGATTTTGATATCACCCTTTATGTCTAAATCATATACCCATTTTGACCTTAAGTCAGTATGTGATTTAAGTTGTTGTTTTATGCCCATTTTCTGCCACACTGATTTTTGTTTTCCCAGCAATTTTTGTCAAATAGTGAATTCTTGCCCCCAAAGGTTGGATCTTTGTGTTTATGAAACTCTAGATTATTTGGTCATTTACTACTGTGTGTTGTGTACCTAGTCTATTCCACTAATCTATCACCCTATTTCTTAACCATTATGACATTGTTTTGATGATTACTACTTTGTGATATAGTTTGACTGCTAGATGGCCTTCCTTCACATTTCCTCTCAATGATTCCCTTGATATTCTTTACCATAACTGTACTCTTTCAAGAAGCCTTCTCTTTTTCCGTATGTAAGTCCCTATCTTTTCCCAGTGACCTACAATAACAATTTATTTTGCTATCTCTAAAACATGCTTTAAAATGTATCTGAATTTTCTGTGAATTATAGTGACCACTTAAACACCATGCACGCAGGGATGATGTCTGGTCTAAGCTTTAAATGTTTTCATTGTTGCATACAGTGCTTTTTGGATGACAGGTATTTAAGAAAAGCTGGCAAAAGTGGATTTGTTAGTACAGTGACTAGGCCTCTTCAATGAAAATATGAAGGATCGATATTTTACCTGGATAAACTATTGTTTGCAGAATGTATTTCATGGCTGTCACCTACCCTTGGGCATTGTTGAAACCACCTTCTTTCATTTCTTCTGGACTTTAGATTTTCAGTATCACATTTACAACACTACACTATCATGAATGCCTTTCTTCTTCAGACCTGAAACTTCAGATTTGGCTTTGATACATCCCTGGATTATGTTTAAAAATGATATTAGCTACTTCACTTCAGCCAGTTTGAATCCAGTGATATATTTCTTCTCATTCATTTTGTGTTCTTAGTTTTGACTGTGGTGGCATCATTTTTTTTGTCCTTTGTAAATTTAATCATTGAAGGACAAAATAATATCTTTTTAGCACAAAGATTTTTAGAAGAGTAACTTTACTGGTCAGAATAGACAAATTTCATAGGAAGACTCTTAGTAATATCATTTTTAGAAAAAATAGAAGATGTTATTACTTTTAAGGGAATTCTTTTGTATAAATAGTTACATTTAAATTGATACTGAATCTCCCTCCTTTTTAAAAAGAATTAATTTAGATATTATCTCCATGATGGTTAAGGGATATTGGCCATTTTGCCAGAACAGGCACATTTCTTTTTGTGCTGAGCACAGATTAGACTGTCAATGAGCATCTAATGATTGATCAGGATTATTATTTTCTTTTCTCTTATGTTGTATATCTTGACTTTCCCCAGGTCTCTCTAATACCCTAAGGTCCCTTATTTGGATGGAAAAAATGTTGATACTTAATAATACTAAGGATATTGAAGGTATGGGGATTTTCTTCATTAACTGTCAATATATTGGACAGCTCTGTGAATTTTATGAAAACACCAAATTTGAGTCTCTGAGATTCAGAATCTGCAATATGTACTTGTACTCATGACATATCAGAAGTATTATTTGTTAAAACTGGCAGCTCATAGAAGCAGGGGTCACTAAATATATTTCATTAACAGTTAAGCTTTTCTTTCTTTAAAAAGAATAGCGATGTGGGGCTTTGAAATAAGAGAGAAAGCACTAAAATTTTGTGGGAGATGACGTGACACTCCTGTAACTAATTTCTTTCACATAAGAAATTTCCGTTGAACTTTTAATGTATTCATAAAGAAAGTAGTAATTTGATCATAATATCATGGTAGACAATGACCATTTCAGTAATGGAGATAATCAGGGATTGAAAGTTAAAAAAAGCTAGCTTCAATGAATTATTGGAAAATTAAAAAGCAAAGGATTTTCATTCATTAGAGCCATGCCTGTTAAAAGTCTTATTGGGGACCTAGGAAACTGAACTAAGAACAAAGGACTTTGCTTTCCTGATAGTGAGTATTGAAAAGCAAGAGGATCCTCACCAGCAGACGATTAGATTTTGCCATAGTGTTAGAGCAGACCCTGTTACTAACTCTTTGGGTGATCCTCAGCACATTTTCTAGATCACTCATAAACAAACTAGCATTCTCTAAGGACCTTTAAAAACTTCCTTCCTTCCCCCCCCCCCCAAGCCTACAAAGAAGAATTAGAACTATTATCATACATTCAGTCTCCTTAAAGTATTTGCTGAGTGCCTACTATAAAGCAAGGTTATATGCTAAACACAGAGAAGCATACAAAAATGGCTGACAAACTAGGTGACATCAAGGAAGAATTAGACTAATAATTCAGATGTGGCTCATAAACAACTATGCAAAGGAACTATGAAATAAATGACTGAAAAGAAGTATAATATCTTATAAGAACTCAGAGGAGATGACATTTGAACTAGACCTTGAAGAATGAATAGGATTTATGTAATCAGAAATAAAGGAGATAGGGAATTGTTTAGGGAATGAAGTTTTTCTATTAAATATTACAGGGAGGTCAAGGAGAATTGCTGCTAAAAAGTAATCAAATTAATTTCTTGGATTATTAAATCAAAATATATTAGGAAAAGAAAAACATCTAAGGGATGTTGGAGATTGTGTAAACAACAATTAGAATGTAACTTTTTTTTAAACTAAAATTGCAACTGTTACTATAACTGGGGTAGGAAATTTCCAGTGAGAGAAGGCCTTTTGTTATGCAGATCAGCATTGTTCTGCAGCTAAGGATCTTTAAAGAGTTGCCTGGGAGCATGGAGAATTTAAGTTACAGCCGCAGCTGTTATACTCAGCCAGTACTTATCAGATGCATGACTTGAGTCCAGGTTTTTCTTACTCCAAGGTTGATTCCTGGGATATGTTCCTCATTGGTATTTATCTTTCCCCACAAACCCTTCCCTCTTCCTATCTTACCTATTACTGTTGAAGGTACCACCATTCTCCCAGTTCCTCAGCCTTGCAACCTAGATATCATCCTTGACTCCACACTCTTTCACCACCAATATCCACTTTTTGCTGAGAGCTGTTGATTTGGCCTTCCTAACATCTCTTGAATTGCCACCTTTTCTTCTTTGACACTTCCAACCACCCTGGTGCAGGCCTTCATCATCTCCTGCCTGGACAATTCCAATAGTCTCATTGATAGGCCTTCCTGCCACAAGTCTTTCTACTCATCCTCCACTCAGCTGGCAAAGTGATCTTCCTTTAAGTGTAGGTCTGACCATACCACTCTTAGGGGGAATTCCAGTGGTTCATTATCACCTCAAGAACTGAGTATAAAATTCTTTGTTTAGTATACAAAGTCTTCGATAAGCTGCCCCTCTACTTTTCTAGTAATCTTACACCTTACATAAGCCTTCAACTGCCCTCCGACCCAAACACTCAGCAATCCAGTGACATTAGCCTCCATGCTCTTCCTTAAATGAGACACTCTATCTCTTGGCTCTGGGCATTTTCTCTGGTTGTCCTATGATGTGGAATGTTCTCTCTACTCATCTTCACTTTATGGATTCTCTATCTTCCTGTAGGTACTACCTAAAATCCCAACTTCTACAGGAAACTTTTCCAAATCTTCCTCAATTCCAGTGCCTTCCTTTTGTTGATTATTTCCAATTTATCTTGAATATAAACTGTCATAAGTAGTTGTTGGCATGTTGTCTCTTTCAATAGACTGCGTGCTCCTTGAGAGCAGGGGCTGTGGTTTCTGTTTCTTTGTATTTTAAGTGCTTAGCATAGTGCCTGCCACACAATAGCACTTAATATTTATTGACTATTTAAAAATGCATCATAAATATTTTAAAATACAAGATTATATTATTCACATTCGTATACTACTTTAAAGTTTACAAAGTGATTTTCTCGACCAACTAGCACTATTGTCCCCAATTAATATGTGAAGAAACAGACTCTGAGAGAGTAAGTGATTTGCCCAAGGGCACAATAAGTAGCCTTCAGGAATCAGACCCAAGCCTTCTGACTCTTCTGACTCTCCCATCCAGTACTCTTCTAGAGTTCCTGTTTGGTGTTCTAATAGGTACAAAATGTCCACCCCTACAACAGGAAGTACTGAGATAATTTTCTTTTCTTATTACATTAACTTCTTTCTGAAAATTCAAAACCTATTCAAAAACATAAAAGAATCAAAGCACCATTTCCTTCATAGTTAAGTAGCAGAAGTAATCACAATGCAAGTATCCTTTTTTCGACTGAGAAACCTGCAGTTCTCTGCTGCAGGAGTTCGGAAACTGGAAAAGTGAAAAAAAAAGTTCATGAAACAAAATTAAATGCTGGCCAGCATAGAGCTACTTTTTTACACCATTAAGAAAATAAGTGACTTACGGTTTGGAGCCACATGATGTCGCTGTCGACCACGGAATATCGCTAAACACTACCTTTTGGGTCTTGGAAAGAGGCTCTGTTTTGTCTTAAATGATGCAAAGCAATGGCGGATGCAGCAGAATAAGACTGGAGGAAACGAACACCCATATTTACCCTTATTCCAATGTTTAAGCTAGCCTTTGGCATAAAGCTAAGAGTGTTTGCGATGGTGTTTTCCTGGGGAGGCGTCTTGGGAGCCCAGCATCTGCTGTTCTTGATTCTTCTCCACACAGCCTGGGAGGTGGGGAGCGGCCAGGTCCATTACTCGGTGCCGGAAGAAGCGAAACACGGTACGTTTGTGGGGCGAATCGCGCAGGATTTGGGTCTGGAGGTCGGGGAGCTGGTGTCGAGGCTGTTCCGTGTGGTGTCCAAGGGCAGCAGGGACTACTTGGAGGTAAATGTGCAGAATGGCATTTTGTTTGTGAATTCTCGGATCGACCGCGAGGAGCTGTGCGGTCGCAGCCCTGTTTGTAGCATCCACCTGGAAGTGATCGTGGAGAAACCGCTGCAGGTTTTCCATGTGGAGGTGGAGATCAAGGATATTAATGATAACCCACCCTTGTTCCCAGTGAAGGAACAAAAACTATTTCTTTACGAGTCCAGATTACCGGACTCTAGATTTCCTCTAGAGGGAGCTTCTGACCCAGATATTGGCTCTAATGCCTTACTTACTTACAAGCTCAGCAGCAATGATTACTTTATTCTGGAAGTAAAATCAAAGAATGACCAAAGTAAATTAGTTGAGCTAGTGTTGAAAAAATCCCTGGACAGAGAGGGAGTTGCAGAGCATCACTTAATACTGACAGCCACAGATGGGGGCAAACCTGAACTCACAGGCACAGTACAGCTGCTCATCACGGTCCTGGATGTGAACGATAACGCCCCCACTTTTGAACGATCCGAATACGAAGTGAAGATATTAGAAAATGCAGCCCACGGAACCTTAGTGGGTCAGACTGAATGCCTCCGATGCGGACGAGGGCATCAATCGAGAGATTTTATACTCCTTCAATAGTCTCGCTCCACCTGTGATTAAAAATAAGTTTCATATAAATCCAGATACAGGAGAAATTTCAGTTCAAGGGCATCTGGATTTTGAAGATGTTAATTCCTATGAAATTCGAGTTGACGCGACAGACAAAGGGAATCCCCCAATGATTGGTCATTGCACGGTCCTGGTAGAAGTCCTGGACGCCAATGATAACTTCCCCAATATCGCAGTGACGTCGTTGTCGCTGCCAGTCAGAGAGGATGCCCCTCCTGGTACAGTCATTGCTTCAATCCGCGTTTTCTGACCGAGATTCTGGAGCCAACGGGCAGGTGACTTGCACACTATCACCCCCTGGGCCTTTCACGCTGGTGTCCACCTTTAGAAATTACTACTCGCTGGTGCTGGAGGGTTCTATGGACCGCGAGAGAGTGCCGGCCTATGAGCTTGTGGTGACTGCGAGGGACGGCGGGAAGCCAGCTCTTTGGGCCACGGCCAGCGTGTCTGTGGCCGTCGGAGACGTGAACGATAACGCGCCAACGTTCGAGCAGCCTGTGTACACTGTGTTTGTGAAGGAGAACAACCCACCCGGCAGTCACATCTTCACAGTGTCCGCGTCTGACCCGGATGCTCAAGAGAACGCGCTGGTGTCTTACTCCCTGGTGGAGCGGCGGGTTGGGGAGCGTCCGCTGTCGAGCTACGTGTCTGTGCACTCGGAGAGCGGGAAAGTGTACGCCTTGCAGCCCTTAGACCACGAGGAGCTGGAGCTGCTGCAGTTCCAGGTGAGCGCCCGGGACGCAGGCTTCCCTCCTCTGGGCAGCAACGTGAGCCTGCAGGTGTTTATTCTCGATGAAAACGACAACTCTCCCGTGGTTCTTCCCCCTCACTCAGGGTCCGGAGCAGGTGGGGTCCCAGTAACCGAGTTGGTATCGCAGTCGGTGACAGCGGGCCACGTGGTGGCCAAGATCCGGGCAGTTGACGCGGATTCTGGTTACAATGCATGGCTGTCTTATGAGTTGCAGCCCGAGTCGGGCGTCGGTCGCGGCCCTTTTCGCGTGGGACTGTACACTGGTGAGATCAGCCTAACACGGGCTCTGGAGGAATCTGATGGACCGAGGCAGACGCTGCTGGTGCTGGTGAAAGATCATGGAGAACCTGCCCTGTCTACCACAGCCACTGTGTGCGTATCAATGGTGGAGAATGGACAGCCTGCAAAGACTTTTTCAGGGGCTTCCCGGATCTCGGCAAAGTCTGGCGTGGGAAAAGACACAGCTCTGGTGGATGTGAATGTCTATTTGATCATCGCCATCTGCTCAGTGTCCAGCCTGTTGGTGCTGAGTCTACTGTTGTATGTGGCACTTCGGTGCTCTGCCCCTCCACAGGCCTCACATGGGCCTGGCAAGCCTACACTAGTGTGCTCAAGTGAAATGGGGAGTTGGTCTTATTCTCAGCAGCGGCGGCAGGTTTGCTCTGGAGAAGGGGCGGCCAAGACCGACCTCATGGCCTTCAGCCCTAATCTCCCTCCATGTCCTGTTTCTGGGGAAAGAGGCCAGAAGCAAGAGGCTGGCTTGGATGGCTCGGGAAAGGTGGGTCACTATGGATTGTACACTTTTATTTTTTTTAGGTGCAAATTGCTGTTTCTCCCCCAAACGTTCCTCAATTCTTGGATTCAGTCGTCTCACTTTAAAATTTTTGTTTTTCTCTCTTCAAATTAGGCTTTCCGTTTCTTATGTAACCTGATGAGATTTCATAAATGCTCTTTTTCCCTCTTCCATGTCCTCTTCCTACATCTTCTCCTCCTCCTTGTGCACATTCCCATTCCTCTTAAGTATGTCCCTTCATGGGTCAATGTTTTCATTTGTGTTTTACTTACAACAGCATGAAAATGGTAAAACCTTTCTGTAGAATTTTTCCTTTGGCTAGTTCCCATTACATCTCTTAAAAAAAAAAAGACCTTCATAATCATTTTGTGCCACATTTATCATTAGTGTGAATGATGTTATCTTTTGCACGTTTAAGTTCTCATTTTGATTGTTCTTGAATGCTTTCCATGTTTTTGATCAGCACAATCTATGTTTGGTTAATAATCTTTAAAGCCTTCTAGTTGCTTTGTTTTAATAGCATTGGGTAGCCACTGTGAATAATGCTTTACAAAGCATACAGTTAATTGTCAGTGCTATAGTTAGCTAGCGTGTAGATACCATTTTAAGGGTTGCAAAATGTTTTGTATATGTTATCAAATTTGATCTTCACAACCACCTTGTGAGGTAAGTGCTATTATCCCCATTGTATTTTTTTTAATTTTTAATATTTTTTTTCTTTTAGGCAATTGGGGTTAAGTGACTTGCCCAGGGTCACACAGCTAGTAAGTGTGAAGTGTTTGGTCTGAGGCTGGATTTGAACTCAGATCCTCCTGACTTCAGGGCCAGTGCTCTATCCATTGCGCTACCTAGCTGCCCCTATTATCCCCATTTTACACATGTGGTAAAAAGCTCTGAGTTGCTTTATGACTTTCCCTTCAATTCCTTGGGTTCATTGTGGTGTTATCCATTACATGTTTATGGAATTCTGAGTTTCACTTAATTTTTGTCCCTCTCATGTTCCATATAATTTATATATTCCATGACTTCAGTTGTAGATTGAGTTCAAAAGATTTTAGTAGGTGTTATCTGATTGACATTCAAGTAAACAAAAATTAGAGGACGCTCCAGAATAGAAGAGATGAAGTATGGACCTAAGAGAGCTTAATGTCATTTCAGTAAATCAGCAAATCTGTTTGGGTGGAAATATGGAAATTGTGGGATCTGTAGCAACAAAGATCAGTCACTTCAATCTTTTTTCATTGGTCTTTGAAAGCCAGTACTCATGAAGCAGAGCAGCCCAATGACTGTTCCTTGGCTAGGGGAGGGACTTCTTGGGAAGTTACAACCTGCTGGAATAGGAGCTGGGGCATCTGATGTGCATTTCAGGCATGGGACCAGATGGTTTTAGCAAAAAGAAGCCTAGCTCATGGGCTACTCTTCACACTTGTATCTACACCCATTTCCATTCCTCATTATGGCCAGTGCTGCTGTCTGATCAAAGTCTGATTCACAACTTCTGGCCTGGGGGAACACCTCCTTTAGCAAAAGGATCCAGAAGAGCAATTGACAGAAATAAAAAAACCTTTCAGGTTGTACATCAACAGGATCTTAAGACAGCTGCATATATATGATATCACATGAGCATATATCATTTTAGAAAATGAGATCCTGAAGACGTTGGCTTTTCTTTAGAATTAGAGTTTTAATTCTTAGTAATGCAAATTTGTTCAATTTCTATAAGGCAAACTCACACCACCACTCTATCATATATGCTTTTTAGTCAATAATTATGAACTTTTGCCTGGCATTCAATGTGCTGATTTCTTTCAAATTCAAATTTTGCTGTTTTCCAAACACTTTATGTCACAAGTCTTCAGGGAAAATTTCATGCAGCTTATCCAAAATAAAAGGCAGAGGAAGACTAGTGAAGATTGGGGAGATTTTCCTGAATATCAAACAGACATCCCTGAGGTAGATTTGTTCCAGATGCAGGTGAATACTTTGGCATATTTGAAACAAGCCAGTAAAATTTGCAGAGCAGATGAGGCTTCAGCACGAGGAGCTTAGCACAAATTCTCAGCCTCCACTTCTAGAACATATCTCATAATAAGAAAGAGATCCTTGCTTATTTCATGCTTCTTGTTAAGGATAAAAAGGATAGACTGGACAAGAAATCAGAATCACAAATAGTTGAGATGAAGATGAGTCAGATTGTAATGAAATTAAGTGTAAAACTTAATGGTACATTTGTGATGATTAAGACGGAAATTATACTGTCCATTAAAAAAAGTAGAAATGATGGTAAAAGTAACATTTTGGTTAAGTTCAATGAGGATTTATTTAGCCTCTACTCTGTAGAGCATCTTATGTGACCAAAAGTAGTGCAAATGCTTTAACATTTGTACAGAAAGTTTCATTTAAAACTGAATAGAGAAAAAAATTGAATACTCTGTAACTGTGGCAGGCTATGATGTAGCAGATTACAGAACTGAATGCTTTTATCTGGGAACATTAGACCTAATGTAATTATATCGAATAATAAGTAAAAGAAATTGATAACTGACCCAGATTCAGATAGCCATTATGTTAGGACTCAGCAGTAGATATCAAAGAAGCAGGAGTTGAGAATTAACATACTTTCAGCAGAGAAATTTGTAGCTACATGCATCCTGTCCAGAGCCCCAAATCTCTTTCACAGGCTTGGCAGTTCACTTGAGTCAGACAACACATCCATCTGATACCATTAAAATCAGTTTCCACACCACCAGTACAGGCCTTGCCTGGAGAAGCCACTCATATATGTCTGTTGGTTCATTACATACCAAAAATGCCAAATTTGAACTGCCATCATGGAGAGGTGTTACCTTACTTAGAAGTATTTACATTTTTAAAAAGAAGCATTGAAAGTACTTTTAAAAATATAAATGAAGATCATTTATGTTTAAAATAGATGTACATCATTGAACAGGCTCAAGGCACTGGGACTATGTATCTTCTGTTTAGCCAAGGAGTTTGCTATTAAAGGAAGCTGGCTAAGGGTACAGCAAATCACTGATATGTTTTGGAGGAAAGAGTATTTCATAAGGAATTAGATTTGAGTAGAACCTTGTGAAATTACTAGTTCTGTGATCTTATGTAAATTACTTAATCTCTCTTATGTATACCATGGAAAAATTCTATTTGTACTTCTTACCCCCCAGGATTATTATGAGACTAAACTAAGGTAGGGATGAATTCTGTAAGAGGGTAACAAATGCTGGCTTTGGAATTAGAGGACCTGCTTTTGAAAACCAGATCTGTCACCTTCCTGTGGGACCTCAGACAAGTCATTTTGTTTGGGCTTCAGTTTCCTCATTTGTAAAAAAAAAAAAAGGTATTTGTAGCCTTCAAAGTCCGGTATAGTTCTAAACCTATTATCTTACAATGGCAAAAAGTGCTGTTTAAATAATGAAGAATGATATGAATGTCAGTTATGGTTTTTGTTATATATATTTTGGAAGATTGTAAGGCAGTACCAGT